GGCTCCCCCCCGAGGGGGGATCGGGCCCGAGGTTGGGCGGCGGCCGCCCCCTCCCGTGACTAGGGGTCGGGCTCCCCCGACCCCCTCTCTAGGTCACCACGTACGGTGGGTTAGGTGTCCGCCTCCAGGTGCCCACCTACCCGCATTTATGGCGTCCCGAGCGGTCGCGCCATGCCGCATTTAATGCGGCGTGCAGTGCACTCAACCGGTCTGTGACCGGTCGAATGACCGATGAGACTGGCTAGTGCGCCTGTGCGCTGCTCGTGTGTCAGGCGGCGTGCAGCCTGACATGTCCCATCAAATAGTGATGGTGAGAGGTTCTTATCCTCTTATCCAAGCCGAAGTCGGTCCTCCCGCTCGGGTCAAAGCAAGGCTCCTGTTTCCCGGTGTAATAGGAGCCCAGAAGTCTTCACCCAGTAAATGGTGACTGACAGGGGTACCCCTCGTGTCAGGCGGCAAGATTTGATAGGCCCCATCATCAAGACGACGTGTGCTTGGCTTCCCAACCACAGAGACAAGACATGCATTTAATGCAAAGATTATAATACTTCTCCACCGGAGCTAGGTTAGGTTGTTGGGTCCATGTGGTAACCACTTGAGGTATAAAAGGAGGTCCAGGCCTAGTGGTGGAGGGGGGAGGGGGGGAGGGAGGGGGGCGAACTGGCGCTTGGGTCTCGCAACCCCAAGCACTTGTGTTCTACATTCAATCAATCATGCACAGGAGTAGGGTATTACGCTTCTTAGCGGCCCGAACCTGTATAAATCTCTTTTGTCTCATCGTCTTGGGGGGGGGGGCTAACCCCCTCAAGATCACACAGCTCCGCTCACCAAGCCCTCGAATCTCATCCGCTGCCCCCGGCCGAACTCACAAAGGGGGGCCTCACGGTTCCCTTGTGGAGGAGTTCATTCTCCGACATGCACTAAGTTACATCTCAGTTCAGCCTACCATCCTCAAACAGATGGACAGACCGAGAGGGTTAACTAGTGTCTGGAAATCTTCCTTCGCTGTTTTGTCCATGCTACTCCCTCTAAATGGTCTGAATGGCTACATCTTGCTGAGTTTTGGTATAACTGCTCTTATCATTCTTCACTGTATAAGTCACCTTTTTGAGGTTTTGTATGGCTATCCTCCTACTCATTTCGGCATCAGAGAAGATGCTTGCAGTATACCTGATTTAGCTCAATGGTTATCTGAAAGGAAGTTGATGGCTCAACTGCTTAAGCAACATCTGAATAGAGCCCGACAGGTTATGAAATATCAAGCTGATAAAAAAAGGAGTTTTCAGGAGTTTTAGGTAGGTGATTGGGTTTTCCTTAAGTTGCAGCCTTATGTGCAATCTTCAGTTGCCAAGAGAGCTAATCACAAACTATCTTTTAAGTATTATGGGCCATACCAAATCATTGCCAAGGTTGGTCAAGTGGCATACAAGTTACAGTTGCCATTGGACTGTGCTGTTCATCCTGTCTTTCATGTCTCTCAATTGAAAGGCTCTTGTGGGTTCAAGCATCCTGTTCAGAGTCAGCTACCTGGTCCAACTTCCAGTATTCAGTTTCCAGTCCAAGTTCTGGATACTAGGCTCCATAAGAAAGGTAACCGTATTATTCCTCAGTTGCTGGTTCGTTGGTCTGATTCTGCTGCAGATGAAGCGACCTGGGAAGATGAAGCTAATCTCAGGCAAAGGTTCCCAGCTGCCCTGACTTGGGGTCAAGTCAGTTTCCAAGGGGAGGGGCTTGTCAGCAGCCCAGCTACTGACGTTTCGGACGAGCAACAGCAACCGCAAGATGGTGGGCCGCGCAAACGGGCTGCAAGACTCCGTATCCCAAATACTAGATTCGTTGGGCCGGATTGGGCCATGTAATAGCTAATGCATAGCTGGCAGTTGTGAGCTGGCGTTGTTGCCGAACGAGAGAGAGAGATATATAAACAAACTCCTCTGTATGATGAAACTCATCTGAGAAAGATCAATATATCAGCGGTTAAGGCGGCGGAGGCGATGCGATCTTGTTGATCCATCGATGAAACTTGTGATCTTGTTTGTTCTTGTGAGGAAGAGTAGAGTGCTCACAGAGCAGTGGATTATGATTCTGCGCATTTTCCCTAATTGACTGAGAGACCAACATTCCGCCTGCTCGAAATTACTGCACCTCTAAACGTGTTTGGGATGAATGTCCTTCTAAAATAATACTTCGTTGTTAGTACTACAGGTTACTACTAGACCTAGAAGAAACAAGGTTTGGGTAGGAGGATAATACTTTATCGAAAGGCTTAGGCTCTAGCCCATGTTCCACGCAATCCAAACCTCCACGACAAAAGAATTACAGGGTTGGTTTAATTCTTTACCTATGAAAAATCACTCTACCAAATTGTGGTAGAATAGGATGACAAATATTATAAATCATTGCATGACAAGCTACTGTAGGTTCCTTAAAGTCAATACTGAGTGGTGGTGTTGGCGGAGCCCAAGCTGTGGTGGGCAGCCATCGACGAGCGGCACGCTTGCCAGGCCACGGTGGACGGTGGAGATGTGGCGACGATGGTGACCTTATGGTCTCCGTGCGGCGCGAACCTTCCTATGCTGGCAACTTTGGCGAGTGCTGGGCGTCTGGCTTCCCTCCGGCAAGAACCGGTCCCCTCCACCGGTTTTGGGGCGTGAGCATCGTGCTTCGTTGGACGTCCTAGTGCCGCGCCATTGGACGGCGGGTGCACTGTGGCGGAGGGGGTCATCAGCACGGTGTGGAGGGTGGCAAGGCGCCGGCGAAACGGTCCGGCGGCCCGAGGTGACATGGGCAACAGATTCGTGGCTGAGTTGGCGGTTTCTCTGTCAGGGAGGAGCCACGATCCTTCGACGGGCACATTTCCAGACTTATGTCCTCTTGTGACGACGCCTTTGTCGACAAAAGTTGTCCATGTCGAGCGGGCTAGTGGGGGGGGAGAGGGCATCCATTCTTCTCTCTCACCCTCTCCCCATCCAACCCATCTGCGTGGATGGAGCCGGTGTGTGTCGAGGTTCGAGCTTCCCCATGATGATCGACTGGCGGCGTGGCGCCGGTGCGGTGGCCGTGCGTCGAAGGTTTTCGTTGGTGGTGGCTACAGAGCGTGCAGGAGTTTAGTTCTTGGGAGGGACGAAATTTTGGGCGAAAGCTCTGCCTCCGGGCCGGCAACAACAACGCCTGTGGGTGCCGTTTTCCTCTTGGGGTGTTTTTGTATTTCTTATCTCTCCTAATTACTTTCTTCAGGTGAAAACCTTGTCCTGGCCTCCCGGGACAGACGACAGTGGCACCTTTGGTGTCGTTTCCTTCTTGGAGGTGTCGTCTCGAAGACCTTCTGTTTCGCTCTTGCAGTGGGTCTTGTTGTAGACGCACGGTGTGGTTGTATTTTCTTTTTTCTGGTCTGTGGTCTTCCAGGACTATAGATTGTATTTTTCTCCTGCTTTATCAATACATGAAACGCGCACTGTCTTGTGCGGTTCGTTTTTTTTTTTAAAAAATAATACGAGCAAGGGCAAATTAATTGATTGATGAAAACAATCTTACGACATGAATAATGGTGCGATGTTGTACAGAAAAGAGAGAACACAGAAAAGATTGTTGTATGTTAATTAACATGTAGTCTAATAGACAAGTTAAAATAACCATCTACTTCACTATTTGTATGTGTTGTTTATAGAATAAAAAGTAATTATATAAATCTATTTGAAACAGCTAAACGGATGGTTAATGTGGGTTCTCTATATTCTGTTAGACATGATGTGAAAAAAAAAACTCTATATTCTCTATACTCACTCCGTCCCATAATACAGCAACCTGAACATGAGTGTGTTCAGATTCGTTGTACTATAAAATATCCTATCCAGTCCTAGGTTGCTATATTATAGGACGGGGGTAGACAATAAATATCTAAACCATTATTTATACATATTATTATAGAAGAAATTCAGTGTCATTGCGTTACTTGTAGTAGGAGTATATAATTGGATGTGTCTCTAGAAAGAAAAGGAATAAATTGTGCTCAAACTCTTGCTCTAGTACTGCCATGTCATTATACTACTTATCTCCGTTCAAAATAACTTCATTTTTAAACTTGGATATGGAAAACAAGGTAAGAGCATCAATAATCTGCATGTCAACAACGATCCATACACACGAGACCGACATACAGATTATTTTTGATCGATTAGTTTGTTTTTCACGGTTTTTTCGCAGATATAACATAAATCTTGAACATGATAGCAAACTATTAAACCACTATGTATGGACCTACAGTTGAGTGATTAACTGTACGATTATAGTTTTGTTAACTTCTTCCCTTTTCACTTACGATGGTTGTTTATGGATGAAAATATATCGTCATAAACATATTTTGTCTTTTTTTTCGAGCAAATGTCGAATAAGGGGCCATTTGATTTGTAGAAAGAATATATAAATTTTAGAGGATTTCAATTCTATAGAAAATATTTTCTATGAAAACATTTGAAACAATGGAGTGAATCCTATCGTATCCTTTGAAATTTCTATAGAATATACAATCCTATCAAAATTTTGAAGAAAACTTAGCAATAGCTTCAACCTCATGGAAAATTTTCTTTGAATCTATCTCTTTCATCCGATTTTTATATTTTTCCTATAAATAATCAAACGATTATTTATGTATTTTTCATACATCTTGCTGTTGAATTTCTATCATAATCCCTGTACTTTTCTTGTTCCTCCCTTTTTTTTCACTTCTACAATTCAGAGGGAACCTTACAGAGTGGGCTCGTGCACTCAGCATTTACACTTTTAATAGCGCCAACCAGGATCGTATCAACAGAAAATATACAGTAACACCACCGAGTTAATGCTTGCTGAAACTGCTGCCACGCCGCGATATGCACACGCAGCACACGCGCCGCCAGCGATAGCAGCGTAGGGTGGCGTAGTGTCGTGTTCCCAAAGCGCAACCATTTGCATCCTCCCAAGAGTAATAAACCAGCCGCTCCGGAGTAATAAACGCTCTCTCTTCACGATTAAACCAAAACCGGATGCATGTGCGGCTCCCTTTCACGGCCTCCCCCCGTCTTCACCTCCACCTAATCAATCGATCCCCACGCCCCTAATCCTTCCTAGGCGGCAAGCGCTTTAAGCAGCCAGCAAGGGGGGCAGTGGTGCAGAAAGGCGAATCGCCCCAATCCCACAAGAGGCGAGGGGAGAGAGGAGAGCGCGCAGCGGGAGCAGCAGAAGCCGCCAGCCAGCCATGGCGGTGGGCGCGACCGCCACGAAGCTGCACATGCCGTCCGCGGGCGGCCGCCGCCCGTCCCTGTTCCACCTCGCGGCCGTCGCGGTGCTCTGCACGGTGTCCTACCTCATCGGCATCTGGCACCACGGCGGCTTCTCCGCCTCCCCGGCCGGCGGCGTCGCCTCCTCCGTCTCCATCGCCACCACCGCCTCCGTCTCCTGCGTCTCCCCCACCCCGACGCTCCTTGGCGGCGGCGGCGGCGGCGGCGACTCCTCGTCGTCCGCGCCGCTCGACTTCGCGGCGCACCATACCGCGGAGGGGATGGAGGTGGCGTCGGGCCAGGTGCACCGCACGTACGAGGCGTGCCCGGCCAAGTACTCCGAGTACACGCCGTGCGAGGACGTCGAGCGCTCGCTGCGGTTCCCGCGGGACCGGCTCGTGTACCGGGAGCGGCACTGCCCGTCGGAGGGCGAGCGGCTCCGGTGCCTCGTGCCGGCGCCCCAGGGGTACCGCAACCCGTTCCCGTGGCCGACCAGCCGCGACGTCGCGTGGTTCGCCAACGTGCCGCACAAGGAGCTCACCGTCGAGAAGGCGGTGCAGAACTGGATCCGCGTCGAAGGCGAAAAGTTCCGGTTCCCCGGCGGCGGCACCATGTTCCCCCACGGCGCCGGCGCGTACATCGACGACATCGGCAAGATCATCCCCCTCCACGATGGATCCATCCGCACCGCCCTCGACACCGGTTGTGGGGTAGGCCACTTCATACATAAGCACACCCTATTTGCTTAAGATAGATGACATTCGCGCATAATTAGCTCGATTTTAAGTAGTGTTTCGTACATTCGTAGCAAAATTTGGGGGTTTAGTTATACTCCAGTTTGTTGATGCACTAGAACATGAGGCGGAAATCTCGGCAACGCCGGAATGGGATTTTGCTTTGCGCGTGTCGGAAGTTTCCAGTCCCACACTGCTCCTCTGGGCCCTTCTGCCCGGGCAAACGGGTCTGACCCTAAACGAGCTTCTGCTCCGACCCGGATCAGAGGAGCATTTGTTCGTTTCATTCTGTGATTAGGCAGGTCAGACTGTAGAGTAACGTGACCAATCCGACATACCGTTTCGTTTAGAGGCTGAACTGAAGCACTGAACTGAAGTTACTAGTACTTGACTGCTTGTAGCATTCCGTGCGCATAGTGCATTCTTTGATCAAATTCTCCATGTCGGCTGCGGATAGGAGAGGTTCTGTTGTGTGCACTGTGCACTAATATCGTTGAAAACTTGGAAGATATGTAGTGCCTTTTTACACAGTGACAATGTCACACATAATGGAATTTTCACGTCTACAGCAAGCTGTGCCAATAGTTGTCATTTTGATCTATTTGTATTGCTAGATATGTGGAAACTGAGTTTTTCTCATGTGTAGAGGGGCAAGTTACCCTTTGTATATTATAACCAGACGCCTAGAGTTATGGATTCCTAATGTGTTGCACTCTGCCGCTTGTTGCAGGTAGCGAGCTGGGGCGCATACTTGCTGTCACGCAACATCCTGGCCATGTCCTTCGCGCCACGTGACTCTCACGAGGCACAGGTTCAATTTGCACTGGAACGTGGTGTGCCGGCGATGATCGGTGTTCTTTCATCCAACCGGCTCACCTATCCAGCTCGTGCCTTTGACATGGCACATTGCTCCCGCTGCCTCATTCCCTGGCAGCTCTACGGTATGGCAACATTTTGTCCAAAATTAAATGTGTTGGCAATGCTCTGTTAATCCTTTGATAACTCAGGTGCAATTTGAAATGCAGATGGGCTGTACTTGGCTGAGGTGGATCGCATTCTGCGGCCAGGAGGGTATTGGATTTTGTCTGGACCTCCAATCAACTGGAAGAAGCACTGGAAGGGGTGGCAGAGAACCAAGGAGGACCTGAATGCAGAGCAGCAAGCGATTGAGGCAGTGGCCAAGAGTCTTTGCTGGAAGAAGATCACGCTCAAGGAGGTTGGTGACATTGCCATCTGGCAGAAACCTACTAACCACATTCACTGCAAGGCCTCCCGCAAAGTCGTCAAGTCCCCACCCTTCTGCTCAAATAAAAATCCAGATGCTGCATGGTAATTACAACACTAATTATATCTTTATTGTCCATCTTGAAGTTAACTCACGTTCACAGTTCAGGATAAATCATATTCATGTGATCGATTATAGGTACGATAAGATGGAGGCTTGCATAACTCCTCTCCCAGAGGTTAGTGACATAAAAGAGATTGCGGGTGGCCAGTTGAAGAAATGGCCAGAGAGGCTCACTGCAGTGCCACCCAGAATTGCCAGTGGTAGCATTGAGGGTGTCACTGATGAAATGTTCGTGGAAGACACCAAACTATGGCAGAAGAGGGTCGGGCACTACAAGTCCGTGATAAGTCAATTTGGACAGAAAGGACGGTACCGCAACTTGCTTGATATGAATGCGCGCTTTGGCGGCTTCGCTGCGGCATTGGTGGATGACCCTGTGTGGGTCATGAATATGGTCCCAACTGTTGGCAATTCAACAACTCTTGGGGTTATATACGAGCGTGGGCTCATCGGAAGCTACCAAGACTGGTGAGTTCTTGTACCGCAACTCTGCAAGCACTGCCCCTCTCTTTGAGACTGAATATGATGACGGTCATGTTTTGTTGGTGTGTGTGCTCATGTTTTTGTTGGTGTGTGACTTCTATCCGTGCTTACTGCAGGTGTGAGGGCATGTCCACGTACCCTCGGACCTACGACCTCATTCATGCCGATTCAGTGTTCACGCTATACAAGGACAGGTAATCATAAGCTGCAGTAAAATTCAGTCCATCACAGCAACAGTGACTTCTGTTCTTGTCCGTGGAGTATAAATCTGTACTCCTATGCAGTAGTAACTGCACATTATTCTTTATGCCTGTATTTGAGAAATCTAATAGGTATCGTTAACAGTCACTCTTGGAGACTGTTTACCCTGGTACTGGACTGACGCAGTTTTCGTCTCTTGCAGATGCCAGATGGACAACATTCTGCTGGAAATGGACAGAATACTGAGGCCTGAGGGTACAGTGATTATAAGAGATGATGTTGATATGTTGGTGAAAATAAAGAGCATTACCGACGGTATGAGATGGAACAGCCAAATCGTTGATCACGAAGATGGCCCGCTCGTCCGGGAGAAGCTCCTCCTTGTTGTAAAGACATACTGGACACTCGGGGAAGAAAAGGAATAGCAATAACGTGAAATAAAGTGTTAGAAAAAATTGACATATTGGGCAAATATCGTAATCGGCTTACCATTTGCCTTGTGGATTTGAAGTTTCTTTTTCCATTTCATTCTTTGGGTGGAATAGTTCACATATGGAGTTCAGCCCTCGATGTTTAGGTGTAAAAGAGGTGCTGAGAAGGAAACCCTGCAAAGTTTTTTACATTAAAGGACAACCAAAGTATTCCAGGTGGGTAAATAGAAGCTACAATTATGGTGTCAATCCTTTTTGTTCCAATGCACGGTGTTTGCCATTACTTTTTACTAGTAGATTACCATTCTGATATAATTCTTACATTACTCGTAGGTCTGGTTTCTACGGTCAGTAGCATTCTTCATGCGCTGTCATCAGGCATTTTAGTACGGAGTACCAGTGTACCACCATAGTACGCCTACTCTCCCTAGAACAGTAGAACTACCGTGGAATGTTTACATGGCTAGACGCAAATTGTCTGAACTGCCTTTACGTTTGCTCGCACATGCTACTGGAGTGCTGAACTCAACTACTATGCCTGTGAGGTTTGACTCTGGATTCAGCTGAAAATTTGGTGGCCCACACTGAGCGTACCATATGCATTCGTCTACACTAACTCCAGGTGAATAATGTCAAAATTACAAAATTAGTTACAGTGTAGCTGAACATTAGGCACGCTAGCACCGACTGCAATGCCTTAAAATGAGACAAAACGGTTGTACTGGTATATTCCGCGTCTACACGCCTTCGTTGTTTTGTGCCGACGTCAGCGTCGGTGCTGGAATTGGAAGTGGTAGTGGAAGACAAGCCACGCAAAACATCCAAAAATCTGACACAGAGTCAGCCAAGTTGAGAAAAGGGCCTAAAGACTTTTAAGTCCTAACCACTTCAATCAGCATCTGGAATATATTTGCATAATTATTGACACCATTTTGTCACTGTCATGCCATAATTTTCATGTATTACTTATAACGAGTACCATTTTTTTTTAAAAAAAACATCGTGAATGTCTCTGAATTTTGCCCTTAAAAGTAAATCTCAGTATATCTAGCATATAAGTAGTTTGCTAGTAGCAAACTACTTATATGCTAGATATACTGAGATTTACTTTTAAGGGCAAAATTCTCCCTGTATTATGGAGAAGATAACGTTAGCTGTCTAGTTTCAGATCTTGCAAGTAATGGACTAACGGCTAATTAAAGAGTTCATCACCATTGGCATGCATGCAATGCGACGGCAACAGAACGCACTGGTCCCCGACAGGAGGAGCAGAAGAAACAATTCACTTTTGGGCGATCGGTGCATGTATTGAAATGATGAGGACACTTGACAGACCACGAGGTCCCCCTGTCACAAGGATTCATCTGAGATATCCCCCATTATCCACCGGAAGAACAGTGATGCATACCACCTTACAGCTAACCAAAGTGTCAATCTCACCTAACGCTGCAATAACAGAGCTCTTAACAGTGGCATCTCTGTATACAATAGGAGGGCTACTGGTTACTGGTTAGCTCGCAACAGTGGTTACTTGTTAGCTGTTGAGCTAGCAATGGCAATCAGTCTATATAGGATGCTAGTGGTAGTGGTTAAGAATCTTCTGTCAAGGACATGCACGGAGAAAAAATAATTGACATTTAGTTTGTGGTAATGCCATAGGCCAGAGCAAATAATACAGTAAATTTTCATGTCCAACAAGAAGTATGAACAGGATATACTGTAACAAGAAGTATGGCTGGTAATGGTACTGATTAATTAGCTTGTACTCTTATAACTGCCTAAAAATTAAGCCCATACCTTTGGGGATTGGTGCAGCAAGTACTTCCGCTGCTGATATCTTCTGTCAGACAATACGTCGGGTTCCATTATCCTGTGTGTGGGTATATATACCTTTGAATGAAAACCGTGGCTCTTTATCAGGCAATTTTACTGTTAACGGACGAAGAAATGAATTCAGGTAGTACTTGTTTTGGTTTTGACAAAGCTGAAAGCTCATTTCCATGTAGTGTTTCTTTACTGTAATAAATGGATTCAGGTATTTGACAAAGTTCATCTCAGTGCGGACCGAAAAGAAAGCTTTGCAACAACCTCAGTACTCCACTGCGGATAGTTTTGCGTTGGGGACATCCATCCCAGCTGCTCAGTGCTATCCCCAACGACCCTACGCAAGGCGTGCAGGGTAGCCACATGATTGGAGGCAGGATAATCCGAGCACTGATCTGTTCCGAGAAACCTGACATTTGGATGAGCCACGGCGGAGTCCACGTGCTTGCAGTACGAGAGCTGGGATTATCCTCTGCTCTCTGCTTCGGTTGGTGGCTTGGTGCCCAGCACAAGCAAGGAAAAAGCCACCCGCAGCATTGAGGAGCAACCCCTTTTTCGGTGCCCGCTCGTCGGTGAGTCCTTGGCCTATTCTCCGTATTTACTTTCACCCGATATATACATTCAGAACACTGCCGTTCAATGCTCGGACCTACCGACTACCCCGTACCAAAATTTGCAACCCTAAACCAAATGTGGCCTTGAGGCTTTGACCTGAGGAGGAAGTACCTGTTGTGATAATCCATGGCGCCATCTCCCGTTTTCTGCTCCAAGTTATCAGTCAAGCGCGTGGTTCCGGTTTTGCTGGGGATCATGGCGTGTGTATCGCTCCGACGCATGCTGCGTTCATGCGGGAGCCCTTTCCGTTTTCTTAGGGAGTGCGTGCGCTTTGCGTGTTTCCGATCGTGGGATGGCGCGGTCTACTCGGGAGGCATGGCGAAGTGGCGGGAGGGTAGGAACGCATGGCGGCAACTTCGGTCGTGGGATGACGTGATCCAGTAGAGAGTTGTGGACATGTAATTTGCTATTTAAAGTTTCCTAATGCAACTAAAAACGCTGCAAGTTTTTTCGCAGCACAAACATCATCTTCTCGCTCGCTCTGTTTTGATCGGTATTTCGTCGAACACCTGCGGGAGTTCGCCAACAGTACCTGACCACGCTACGCGGGTGATCCTTCCGGCCTCCGCAATCAGCAGACGAGCGAAGCAGCAGCTCGTCCATGCGGATTGGGGGGCGGAGAGACGCCGGGTTTGCCTTCCCAGTTGTGCCACGGAAACCCGGAGAGAGCAAAGGATTTCGTAGGCCGTGTGACGATGGGCATTGTGCGGATTTTGGGAAGCCGAAATCTCTGTAGATGGGCCAGAATCTTAAGATCTAACGGGAAGGATCAGGCCGGCCCATCCTAGTAGCAGCAGCCATCGAACATTCGATCCACCAACAACGACAGGCTGAGCAACCACTAGTTTTTCACAACCTTTACGTTGATGGCTTCACCAAACCACGGTCAAAGCCGTGACCCCCCCCCCTCTACTCCTTACATACCGATCGTCCTACAGCCAAATGTGCTTTGCTTTCGACGACGGCACATGTAGATCAACAGAAGCAGATACTGCCACTAGCGCATATTACACGCGTGCAGATGTACGCCTACGTGGGGCTCGTGGGCGGCGCAGCTGCGCTCGTGCTGCTGCTGCTGCTGCGGCACCAGGCGCGCAGGTGGAGGAACCCTCGCTGCGGCGGCCAACTCCCGCCGGGCTCCATGGGCCTCCCGCTCGTTGGCGAGACGTTCCAGTTCTTCTCCTCCGACGCCTCCTTGGACATCCCTCCCTTCATCCGGCACAGGCTGGCTAGGTACGCCTTTGTTAATGGGCCAGAGAACGGGCTGGGTTTCTTTTGCTGTTTTTTTACTAGTTTGGGCTGCAAGTTCAGATATGGGCCGATATTCAAGACCAGCCTGGTGGGGCACCCGGTGGTGGTGTCGGCCGACGAGGAGCTGAACCACATGGTGTTCCAGCAGGAGGGGCAGCTGTTCCAGAGCTGGTACCCGGACTCGTTCGTGGAGATCCTGGGGAAGGACAACGTCGGGGAGCAGCAGGGCGCCATGTTCAGGTACCTCAAGAACATGGTGCTCAGGTACTTCGGCCCCGAGAGCCTCAAGGAAGGCATCATCCGCGACGTCGAGCGCGCCGTCTCCAGCTCCCTCTGCACCTGGTCCACCTTGCCGGCCGTCGAGCTCAAAGAAGCCGTCTCCACTGTACGTACGCGGTTTCTACCCAGATTTTAGAATGTTGGTTTCTTGTACTGTCTCATTGTGATGTATGTTCCGTTCGAGTGCATGCACTTGCGCAGATGGTGTTCGATCTTGCTGCAAGCAAGCTGCTCGGCCTGGAGCCGTCGAGGTCAAAGATTTTGCGGAAGAGCTTCTTCGACTTCGTTCGAGGGCTCATCTCCTTCCCGCTGTATCTGCCAGGGACAGCTTACTACTCATGCATGCAGGTAAAACTTATGTCGTCACGATATTGCACTAATTAGTCGTTCTTCGCAAAGTTTCAGACATGGTCTCTTGGTTTTGAGACTCTTGTCAGGGGCGGAGGCGCGCGATGGTGGTGCTAGAGCAAGTTCTGGAGGAGAGGAAGCAATCGACAGGATTGCAGCGAGGAGGAGAAGCGCAGCAGCACGGCGACTTCCTGGATTATGTGATCCAGGAGATCACGAAGGAAAAGCCGGTCATGACAGAGAAGATGGCGCTCGACCTGATGTTCGTGCTCCTCTTCGCCAGCTTCCACACGACGTCGCTGGCGCTCACCCTGGCCGTCAAGCTGCTCGCCGACCACCCTCTCGTCCTGGAGGAGCTCACGGTGAGTGCTCCTATACTATACGCAAAAATCAAGATGTGATATACTGACATACACGTTTATGACTATGTACTGACATACACGGATATGTACGTACGCAGGTGGAGCATGAAACGATTCTGAAGGACCGTGAGGCAGGCAGCGAGCTAGATAGAATCACATGGAAGGAGTACAAATCCATGGCATTCACATCTCAGGTTAGTTACTAGTACTAGCTCGCACAAAACTGCTAGATAAATATCGATCAGATAGGGTTCAGAATTTGCTGTGCAACAGTTTATGCTACTGATTGCATTGGATCCAATTATAGCACCCCATGCATGTTTTGTATCAAAACGTGCGTTGCTAAACCAATCATACGCGCACATGCTCCTATTATGTAGGTCATAAACGAGACGGTCCGTTTGGCCAACATCGCTCCTGTCATCTTCAGAAAGGCACTTAAAGACATACGGTTCAATGGTGAGCCCCCCACAATCTGTTGATCATGGGTCCAAAATCATATCTTGATGCTGCTATTTAATAATGAGGTAGGAGTATGATTGATGAGCTAGCAAGGCTTACAAATGCGACCAGTCATTGAATAACCCAATCTATCTATTACTCCAACTTATTTAAAGTAATAGAAAAATGAGCCTCCACGTTCGCTCTCACGGCATAGAAATTCTCATATTAATCGGAGAAAAAGAAAAACAGAGTCCACGTAGAAATACAATTTAGAAATACCTGAAATTCGAAATTAATAAAAAGGAATATTGAAAGAATAGACTAGAGTCCATGCCGGTATACAATTTAGAACTAATGGAAATTCGGAATTAAAAAAAAGAAAATTAAAATTAGGTTAGAGTCTATATAAAAATACAGTTTAGAAATAGCTGAAATTCAGAATTAAAAAATAAGGAATAAGTTTTTCATTTCACTCTTCTGCAGCAATGCCTGGGCAAGAAAACAATATGAGCAAATCCGCATATTGGAAGAGTAGATTAGAGTTCATGCCAGTATACAATTTAGAACTAATTGTAATTCGAAATAAAAAATAAAAAAAATAAAAATCAGGTTAGAGTCCATATAGAAATACAGTTTAGAAATAACTAAAATTCAAAATTAAAAAAAATACAGAAAGAAGAGTATAGAGTCCATATAGAAATACAATTTAGAAATAACTGAAATTTAGAATTAAATATAAGGAATATTAGAAGAAGAGTATATAGTCCATATAGAAATACAATTAAGAAATAATAAAAATTCGGAATTAAAAAATAAGGAACAGTAGAAGAGCATAGAGTCCATATAGGAATTTAGAACTAACTAAAATTGGGAATAAAAATAATAAAATTACAAATAGAGTTTAGAGTCCATATAGCAATATAATTTACAAATAACTAAAATTCGAAATTTAAAACACATGGGAAGAAGAGCCTAAAGTCCATATAGAAATACAATTTTGAAGTAATTGAAATTCGAAATTAAAAAAATAAAGAATATTGAAAGATGAGTTTAGAGTCCACATAGAAATACTATTAGAAATAATGAAAATTCAGAATTAAAGATAAATAATATTAAAAGAATAGCCTAGAGTCTATATAAAAAATACAATTTGCAAATAACAAAAATTCGGAATTAAAAAAAAGAAATATTGAAAGGCGAGTATAGAGTCCATATAGAAATACAATTCAGAAATAACTAAAATTTGATATTAGTAACTATCATGTATATACAATAAAATATGAATATTACAAATTAGTAGTTTGGTAAAGTTAATATAAAATTTAAAATATGTTGTCATTCTAATATATTTTAATAACAAATTGAGAAAATATATGTAGTATTATATGAGAGAAAATATAATAATGCTAGCCGCGCAATCTGCGGGGGCCACCATGCTAGTTATCGATGAAAACATGTGATATTCAGGCAAAATTTGCTAAAAAAATTAGTTTGAGCTTTTTTTAACGTGGTCAGTTGAAACAGTTTGATCACTTAGCTAGATATCCACCGATTTGTTGCATGCTAATTAAATTGTTATGAAAAAAAAATCAAATTTTTTGATAAGATAGATTCATGTATAATATGGCACTCTACAAATATACAAGTTCAAATTTGATTTTTACAAGTTGTAATAAAAATAGCAAATCAAAATTTAAATAGTATATCTATATTCACAATTAATTTTGTTATTTTTTTACAAACTACAAAAGTCACTTTTGAACTCGCATGTTTATTGAGCGATATATTAGAATCCATCTCCAGATTACTATGTCACATGTTGAAACCTTGCTAACGAGTCAGTACATCATGCATCCGGTTAAAAAAGAGTAAATTTCACAAAACTACAAGTATTTTGATCAAATTATCAGAAAACTACAGATTTAACATGACGTGTCACAAAACTACAGATTTAGTACTAAATTTATCACAAAACTACAGATTTAGTACTAAATTTATCACAAAACTATAGATTTATGGTGAAATATCACAAAACTACGTATTTAGTAACAAAATTATCACAAAACTACATATTTAATGACAATTTAATCACAAAACTTGAACAATTATAAGTCCAACATAACACTAGTGCTAAGAATTTAAACCCTAAAATATGTAGTTTTGTGATAATTTTATTATTCAATATGTAGTTTTGTGATACTTAGCCTTAAATCTGTAGTTTTGTGATAAATTTATAGTTAAATTTGTAGTTCTGTGATACATTACTTAATTGTGATAATTTGACCAAAGTATCTATAGTTTTGTGAAATTTACTTTTAAAAAAAGCATAACTGAATACCATTCTTCTTTTCCTAAGTGACATCCATTGGTGACAGGATACACAATTCCAGCAGGATGGGGAGTGATGGTCTGTCCACCAGCAGTGCACTTAAATCCATATATTTATCCGGATCCTCTCACCTTCATCCCTTCAAGGTTTAAGGTTTGATAATCCTGATTTTCCACTCATTTTTTTTATGAAACATATCTCCCACAAGTTAAAAAAAACAAAAAATAAACTCATGAAAGATCTACTTTCTCCGTTTCATATTATAAGACTTTATAGCATTGCCCACATTCATATCTATGTTAATGAATCTAGACATATATATATATATATATATATGGATAATGTTAGAAAGTCTTGTAACTTGAAACGGATGGAGTAACACGTACCCCGGCCAAGCCCGTCTCCCCCTATACAGACACAAAAATATCTATTCATTCGGGTATATTTAGTTAGCTTTCCACTAAAAGAAAATTTTAATCAGCTTGAGTGTAACATGCAGGATAAACCAGAGATAAACCGTGGATCAAAACACTTCATGGCATTCGGCGGAGGACTACGGTTCTGCGTTGGAGCAGACTTCAGCAAGCTACAATTGGCTATTTTCCTCCATTTCCTTGTGACAAAATACAGGTAGTGTTTTTCTCTTTCGCAGTCCAACTTGAGGGCATATTTGGGGAAGTCCAAATCCTTGTCATCCCATATCTCTGTGATGTGCCAACCAATTGAAGTAACATTTCGGAACAGCGATGGCTGAAATTTTTGGTCTCGCAAACGAGAGCGAAGGAGATGAAATAATTGCGCTTTTCTTTTTCAGGTGGATACCGCTGGGAGCAAGCAGGGTAGTCCGAACTCCAGGACTAGAATTTCCTGATGGCTATCGGATCAAAGTTATCCAGAGACATTAACAAGGCCTAACTCCATCAGCATCCGAAAATACTACAAATGCTATTTACAATGGCCAGTATCAACAATATAAAGAAAACATGCTCAAATGGTTCCAAATATAAGTCAATTTTAGGCTTATGCACAAGACTTGAGAAAATAACTCTCATGCCCTTCATGTATACTATCTTGAAAAAGACGACAAATTTTATTTGTGAGAGGGATAGCATTCTTGTTTTTTGAGAATGACAGGCATAGAAGAAAACATAAACAATGTCTAGAATTCCAAAACGACTTTATGTTGAGAGATGTACATTTATTATTGGACGCATGGGCTGTTTACTTATTTATATTTTTGACACGGGGCTCTCTACTACTTTCTCTGTTTTAATATAAGTTCAATTATGACTTTTCGTGTCTAATATTTGACCATTCATTTTATTTAAAAAAATATGATTAATATTTTTGTTGTTATTAGATGATAAAACATGAATAATATTTTATGTGTGACTATTTTTTAAAAAAAATTATAAATTTTTCAAATAAAACGGACGGTTAAACGTTGGACATGGAAACCATAACCGCATTTATAATATGACGGATGTAGTAGTAATTACTTAATGGGCTGCGATTGAGACGTTCGTCAGCTGCAAGAAATAAATGCATGGACAGTTGATCCAAAGCAATTGAGATGACCTGCAATTGGATCAAAAGATAGCGGTCCGTATTGCTCGAAAAATAGTTCGTCAAATTCCTGTAGCAAGTACTATATAACATGACCAAAGTTTGTCAAATTCCTGCACAGAATCATTATCCAATTCAAACGGGTTGTTAGGTGAATGCATCCTTCGAAAACAGTGGTACCGTTGCATGTCTATTTCCGAACTCTCAAGTCAATAATTCAATCAGAGTTAGGGGCAGATCTAGAACAAAATTGGAGAGAGACTTATCTTTTTCTTCCTCCTTCAATGTCCCTTACTCTTCCTCCCCTCTCTGTTCTTCCTCCTCCTCCCATCTCTCCTTTTATCAATAGTGATTTAGCCGGGTAGGGGTTGGGGACTAGGGGACTCGAGTCCCTCGAGCACCCACGCTAGATCTGCTCCTGATTGCAGTTAATTTGAACGATTGAATGCCAAAATGCTGAAAAAATGTTGCTTTTTTTTCACCAAGAAGGCTGAAGGAGGCTATTCGAATATATTAAGAAGGAGAAAAGTTACAAGAAAAAACACCACAATGCACCAAAGTGCATGACCAAACACCGCGTGCTAACCACACAAGCACAAACAACTGAGAGTGGAGCCTAGCACCAAAAATGACCCCCGCTAAGTATGGCTAATCGCCGCTAGGCCTACGACAGCATCACAGGGACGAGACTCCGAAAACGATGCCACCATGGAGGTCACGACATCAAGGATACCGCCATCGCCAATCTAAGAAAGATATGGTTTTCACCCAGAAAAATGTTACTTGAAGGAATAAAATCTTTATTCACCCCTAAAAGTTAACTCAACCCCTTATTTGGCCCTCACTCTTAATAACATGTCAGTGACTCACCGCGGGCAAATAAGGCATCATTTACAAGGGCAAAGCATCCTTTGCAACAATCATCAAGGAATTTTTTTGAACGACTCGCACCAGACAGTGCGAAGTTCATATTGATAGAGCAGGGAAAAAATATAAGATTACAACCCTGGGAGGTCGTAACCAGGAAAAAAAATACAAAGATTTCTCCACGCACCGACAACATCAAACACAAACCCGGGAGAAGGCTAGCACCAAACCAGCCATCGCTAAGCGTGACCGGCCGCCGCTAGGCCAACAAATGAACTACAGCCGAGGTCGCCCGAACCTATCCCTAACAACTGAAACCAAACCCTAACTCTAGCAACATCTTTGGGATTGAGAGAGAGAGAGGTGAGAGAGAAGGATGGAACCGCTCTCCCCTCTAGACCCTCCGACATGGCCAACTTGCGTAAGCTAGGACGCTAACACAAGAGGACATGCGTCTAGAGAGCGCGCTTGCACCAAAAGTCTGGGAGAAAAGTCTGGGAGGATTCAGCCAGGGCTGTCTAGACGACGTCAAGGAATTTTTCTTTAATGTGATAGCTTTTGTGCAAGTTATTGTGCGCTTGTACCCTTGGAAAAGAAGCTATGAAAATAGTCCCCCTCTCCCCAAAAAAGATTAAACAATAATAATTTTAGCTCGAACTGAATCAAAGGTCAATCTATACACATATTATAATTGGTAAGGAAAAGCATAAATATCGTGATTTCTCATGAAAAGAAAATATCAAAATCGAGCTGGTAATTAAGGAAAATGAGACATTCTAAATTCTAAAAAGTCACACTGCATGAAACTCGAATTCATAGTTGACTATGCATTCCTTTTCGATACTTGTATTCTTCATGCTGATTTAGGCTCTGTTTAGTTCCCAAACAAAAACTTTTCATCCCGTCACATTGAATGTTTGGACAAATGCATGGAGTATTAAATATAGAAAAAAACTAATTACACAGATTGCGTGTAAATTATGAGACAAATTTTTAAAGCCTAATTGCGTCATGATTTGACAATGTGGTGCTACAGTAAATATTTGCTAATGACGGATTAATTAAGCTTAATAAATTCGTCTCGCAGTTTACAGGCGAAATCTGTAATTTATTTTGTTATTAGACTACGTTTAATACTTCAAATATATGTCTGTATATCTGATGTGACATGCAAAAACTTTTCACTCCTGACCTAAACATGGCCTCGTTTGTAGCAATCGGTGTATTCCCAATCTTATCTACCTACCTACATATTTATTTGCGAAGCCTACACTAATTAAAACAACCCCTAGAAAAAAAATCAAGTTAATTGGGGAAGAATAAATACAGCCATCTTATATAGGTTGCATCAAATAATAATGGTTGAAATTTTGCAAAACACCCGCAGAATTGCTGTCATCCTAACCATCAATAAATTCCTTAGTAGAAAAAAAAACATCGACTCTACCAGGTAATGGATTTCATACCAAAAGTAGAATGCATTTCAGCTTTTCCAACCCCTAATGAACCAGGTTATCCTTAGCCAGAATTCTTTTACCGACTCCTACTCGTATATTGTAAGGGTTGGGCCAATTAGTTGCCACCCCTAACCCCTTCTCTTCAAAAAGGAGTCATCACCACCCCTTTATGTCTATAAATATATTTTGCACGTTTTTGGAAATAGCGATGCTCAGATGCTCTCTACCTGTTATACTACTAGTATTATTAGGATAGATTAGCAATTTACTAACACGATGACTAGAGGTTACTTTGTCATTTATGTTTTTTCCCGGTTAATTCCATCTATGACCATTTATTGCGCCAACATCACTCATATTTCATCGAAAAAGCTAAAAAGGAGGAAAAAAGTATACTCACTGTTAAATGGCGATTATACCCACCTATTATTTTTGACAATAATGTCCCTCCACGTTTGTACTACCGTTAACTGGGGTAGTAGTATAAATAGATCTGAACCCTTCGATCAAATGAGATCAACGGTTGTCACGCCCCGAACTAGTACCGACCGGAACTAGCCCGTGACGCTCCAAATTAACCTGTTAATCGATACCAGTACCAGGAAACAGTGCTGGTATCACAGGAAGACAGAATATCACAGCAACAGAGGTCTCTTTATTATAGAGTAGGAGTACAATCAAGTCGGGCTGCAGACAGATCCCGAGCTCACAACTGCATTACAAAAGGGAAGCGGAAGCCAGGACTTGGACCAAACAACACAGGCGCGACTTGGGAACTAGGCCGAAACCCTAAAACTCATCGTAGCCGGCTTGCTCCTGGAAGAACTCCTCGTCAGCGGGATCCGCTACATCTTCTTCAGCAACTGGGGGGGATTATTTATATAGAGCAAGGGTGAGTATAGGAGTACTTAGCAAGCCATGGGAAATAAGTGTTTAATGCAGGCTTCAAGGAAAGGCTGTTGTTTTTGCAATTGATTTTATTTGAACTCTTTTCTGAAAACAACTAAGTGAGTGCTTCTCAAACGACACGGTTGAGACAGTGCGTCTCGTCCGGTTGGAGTATGTGCAATGTATCAGTCTTTAAAATTGATCAAGATTGGCACCCGGCCAACAGCTTTCAACGGCCACCCGGGCCAACAACTTTCAAACGGCCACCCGGGCCTAGCTGATCCCATCAGCTGCAGATTTTCCAAACATCGAACCCCTTTCCACAACAGCAATTTCACAAGGCAGTAGTCAAACAACACTACGCTAGGAATCACCTCACATCCGCCCATGACCGTGGGCACGGCTGTTCGAACAGTTTGTTAACCTCTGCAGAGGGGGTACACCTTACCCACACGACATTACTAACCCGGATCACCCAGCCCGTGGGGATCAGCCACGTCGGGAGACCTCCAAGCTTTCATGACAAGGCATTTCGAAAGCCGACACAGGTTTACCATATGCCGACGAGAGGGGTCCCAGACCAACAACAGGTTAGGTCCCAGACCATACTGTGCCAGGAAGCCCAGGGGTCCTCCCCGACACCACCCCGGTGAATCCACATGTCTCTCGGCATCAAGGCTCCCCTGATAAGCTAGTTACTCAGCCAGGGGTGTCCCATTCCACCCATGTGGTCGTACTGGTCTTATGTTTGGATGAAATTCCAAGGAAACGGTCCTTAAGTGCAAGAGCGGGAAACCGTACACCCGGTACGTTTCCCGGTCCGCGGTTTTGGAAAATTCATTTAGTTCGCAAGTACCGACCCAGGTGTCGGGTTTTCCAAGTCTTTTGTAAAACCCAAGTTTTACCCAAGAAGTTTTTCAGATTTTAAGTTTGAAGGCGACCGTCGATACTCTGCATAGTGCACGATTTCCGAGGCGCAACTGGGTGGTTACAAGGGAACATGGTATAACAATTAACAAAGGAAGGATCAAATGCAACAAACTAGGTAGGTCCGCCAATCTGCCTTGCAGACGGGACAAACAGATTAAGTGCGATCCTATCAATGCATAATATTTTTCAAGCAACATAATTAAAATCAAATATAGACTCAAGATGTTCAAAGGTGGCTTGCCTTGCTCGAGATCTGGAGCTTGATCCTCGAAATCCTCGCACTGCGGGTCTTCGGGCTCCGAAACTACGCGCAAAACGGGACAACTCAACAAACGGCAAAAATAAAGCCCTATTAATGACCTCTAAGCGTGCCATTAGATAGATCTCGAGATTTGAGGAATTTTGGAAGTTGAACGGAGTCAAACGGATTTACGGTTGGGAAGATATTGAATTTCTAAGATTATTGGATTTTTGGTCTACAGGAAAAGGATTTAATTAAATCCTTTTTGAAAAAGAAAAGAAAAGAAAAGAAAAGAGGGAGGGGAATTAGACTTCCCTCGGGCGGCTAGGGCGCGGCCCGAGAGAAAAGGGGCGGCTCGGCCGAGCTAAATGGGCCGGCCGGCCCAAGGCGGCCCAAGGCACGCGCGCGCGGGAGGGGAGGAGAGAGAGAGCCGGTGGACCGGGCTCACCTCGCATGGTCCCGAGTGGGACCCGCTTGTCAGCGGCTCGGCTCACCGTGCGGAGGGAGCACGCGGCGCGGTGCTAGGATGGGGGAGAGACGCGGTGCATGCGCGCGGTTCGCGGAGGACGCGGATGCGGCGGGCCCACGCGCAGCCTCATGGCTCGCGGTGGACCGCGCGCACGGGGAGGGAGCGGCTAACCGGGGTCGACTCGACCCGGTTTTGGCCGAGCTGACGCCGACGTGGCGCCTACGTGGCTGCCACGCGGGCCGGCGGGAGGTAGACGACGACGCCGGCCGGAACGGACGGCGGACGACAGCGGCGAGCGGTGGAGCGAACCACGGCGATACAGGCGAAAGCGAGCACACCGGGTGGTTGCACAGGACAAGGGGAGACGAGCCAACGGCTCGGATTCGCCGGAGGATGCCCGACGGCGGCGAATTGCGGCGGCGGCAACCGGCGGCGGGAGAAGGGGGAAACGGCGACGAGGTCACGAGGGGCCGATTCCCGGCGGCGAGAGCATCTACGCGGCTACGGGAATCCGATGCTAGCGTTGGATTGGGCGGAGCTGCGCCGAGCGAGGCCGGCGACGAGCGGCGCTTCCGAGCTCGGGCGGCGACGGCGGCGAGCACACGGCGAGCGGCGGCAACGGTCGGGGCGGCGCCGGCTAGCTACGGGGAGGCTACTCGTGCTACTACCCGAGTCTAAGGGGAGGAGATGGAGCGAGGAGGGAGAACGGGGAGATGCTCTACCGTGCGGGCGGGCGCAGTGACGAGAGGCCGACGGCGCGGGAGTAATCTCTCCGGCCTCGGGCCGGGGAAGAGGAAGGAGAGGGCGCGCTCGGAGTCCCCTTCCGCGTCCTTGCTCGTGCCGGCTCCTCCGACAAGCGCAACGACGAACGGCGACGGCGAACAGAGCACGGGAGGCGGCGGCAATGGCGTGGAGGCGAATGGGAGAGGAAAGGAAAGGGGGAAGCTTGGGTTTATAGGATGGCAATGTCGGTTTGGGAACCGACTTAGGGCGGTCAAAGGAGAGGGCTAGCGCTCGGCGGTCGTGGCCAAAGCGGCGACAGGGAGGAGGGAGGAGGATGACGCCGGCAGGAGGAAAAAGGGGAAAAGAGGGAGAGAAAAGGGGGCTTGCCCCCTTGCCTCTTCGGGAAAAGGAGGAGGGAGCGGGGGCGACGCGGCAGAGGGAGAAGGAGCTCTGCCTCCGTCCCTTGGCAGCTTGCGCGCGGAGTGGCGGGGGCCGGGCGATGACGACGGCGATGACGGCGGGGCGGTTTGGAGCGGGGCGACGACACGGGCGGCAGGCGCGGCAGAGGCTGACGGTGGCGGCGACCAAGCGGTCGGCCACCACGGCACGCGCGCGCGGGAAACAACGGGCGGCGCGGCTCGGGCACGCGCGCTGGCTCGCGGGGCCGAGCGGCTGCGTGGCAGGGCAGCGGGGCCGGGCGGCGCAGACGGCGCAGGCGCGGCACGGGCGGCGACCACGCGGCTCTCGCGTACGCGCGGGCAGAGCGAGGGAGTGGCGCTCGGCGCGGCTCTCGCACACGCGCGCGCGGCGCGCGGGCAGAGCGGAGGAGGGAGGGAGAGAGAGAGAGAGAGAGAGCGCCGGGGAGGGAGGGGGAGATGGGCCGAGAGAGATTCGGCCCATCGAACCCGGGGAGGCAAAATAGACTTGCGCGGAGGAATTGATTTGGAAAGGCATTTGGATTCGGGACTCAACTCGGCGATCAGATCGCGGAATTTCGAGATCTGCAGATGGCACGGACACTAGAAAACAAGCAAAGAAACAGATTTCGCAAATAGAGTTTTTAAGAGATAGTTTTCCCGCTAGGCGCCACGACGGAACGGGCGCTACAACGGTTCATATTGTTTTTTATTACTAGTAGAGGGCACCGTAATGAGGCTCTCGTGAAAAAGTATTCTGTCTAACGGCATGGAGTAGAAATCATTGACAAACTCGATCAATGACATATTATGTATAGAGCAATCTCAATTATCCAATCACTAAAGGAGAGCAATCAATCCATGGGAAGGAATATATTTTCTTCATAGATACCTGCAACTTGCATGAAGTAAAATTCTACTAGTCAACTAATAGTACACGTGACAATTGCTATATAAAGATCTAGATACCTCCCCTCTGCGTGGGCAGCAGTGCAAGCTAGAAGCCTTGTTCCATACTTGCTCACTAGTTAGCTAGGACATGGAAAAGTCTGAGCTCTTGCTAGGATCGTATTCATATGCAGCTCTATGTGGTGTCACACTCATCATAGGATGGTTAGCTCACTGGGTATACAAATGGATGAATCCTCCATGCATTGGGAGGCTTCCTCCTGGCTCCATGGGCTTCCCTATTATTGGTGAGACCTTCCAGTTCTTCAGAGCAAGCCCATCAATAGACATGCCAAGCTACTACAAGCAAAGACTGGAGAGGTTAGTGATAACTTTTTAGTACCAGTGTTCTACTTAAATATGCAACAAACATATGCACGTTGTTGATACGAACAACACACTTTCTATAAATATGAACAAATCTAAGTTCTATGCCATGCTGGTTTTGCGCTTGATCATCAGGTATGGGCCTCTATTCAAGACTAGCTTAGTTGGACGGCCAGTGATCATTTCCCTTGACCCAGAGGTGAACCGATTCATATTTCAACAAGAGGGTAAATTGTTCCAAAGTTGGTATCCAGAAACTGCAATTAATATCTTTGGCAAGAAGAGCCTCACCACATACAACGGAACCATTCACAAGTTTATCCGGGGTGTCGCGGCCAAGCTCTTTGGCCTTGAAAACCTGAAAGAATCACTCCTTCCTGAGCTAGAAAACTCTATGAGGGAGAGCTTCGCATCATGGACTGGGAAACCCAGCGTCGAGGTACAGGACGGCGTGTCAGACGTAAGTTAACAACTGCATTTATGCAAAACTATGCGACGCTACATGGATATATGTTTCGGTTAAGGCATTTCTAATGTTGTTGGATCTATAGATGTCTAATATGAATAAATGGTAGATAATTAAGAACGCAAAGTGCGCACTGTAATTAGATTATCTCCGGTTAACTGTCTCACAAAATGGTCCTATTGTTTTACTATGAATTGTATTTTGCAGATGATCTTTGACCTAGTTGCCAAGAAGTTGATCGGACTCGATGTCACCAACTCAAGAGAATTGAGAAAGAACTTTCAGGACTTCTTTCAGGGGATGGTTTCCTTCCCAATATATTTTCCAGGGACATCATTCTACCGATCCATGCAGGTATTTGTATCCTCTATTATATACTAAAAGTCCATTAAATTTACTATAAATGCTCTCATGCCATCATGTGAAACTCCTACAAACGCTACTAAGACGTCACGCGTGTCTAATAAATTAGAAAAGTTCTAAAAAATATCTAAACCATTGATTTACACTTAAATTGGTGGATCCATCTTATTCAACCATGCATTAGATTAGATCTATGGAACTAATTCCTCATATCCCTCTAGATCTCGTGTATGTGGGAGAGAGAAAACGCCAGAAAAAAAAGGAATACCCGGCAAAAAAAATGTATCTTAGCCTACCCTGCAAAATTATAAATCATGTTCAGCATTCTCCACATCAAGCGTGACAGCACATGCAGTCGATCCATTACAGCGACCCATCTCACAAGTCACAAGAAGATTTGGATGAAACACAACACGCGTGTAATCAAACGGGCACTGAATTTAGACCCAGGTAGCAAACTCATCTACAAAATTATAGTTACAGAATCAATACCAACAAAACCATCCAAGAACCAGCTATTCACAATTTGAATTTATGTAGTCCCTCACTTTTCAAATATAAGGCATTTTTCATTTTTCTTCATTTTCTATTTTTAAAACAATCAATGTATTAGAGTTTACTAGGTGGATGACAAATGCATTATGTGTGTGTGTGTGGGCGGGGGCCGGGGGCCGGGGGCCAGGGGGGATTGCATTGAAATTTTCTACGCCGACGTAAGTATAGTAAGGGCATGCATATGCTTAAGTTGAGTGGCCCCAATAAGATGTAACCAGGGTACTTAACAATGCAATCTTTTATCAGTGTGCCAATGGTGAGTTAGGCGTTAAAATTATAATCCACGCTAATCTCGAGGGGTACAACTCCATTGATGCGAGACTCATGTTTCAAGGCATCAGAGAAAAAAAGCCCTCGGTTTCATCCGTTAGAGCGGTATTTATACACATTTTAATGGGTTTATCCCATTAATTGGTAGTTGTTGTATTTTTAAATATTTGCACAAAGATTTAGACATAGGTGAGAGATATTTTTTTCTATATTAATGATGTACTAGGTGTTTTTTTTTTACATATATAGTTTCATCTATTAAAAATGCATCCTGCTTTGAAAACAAGTAATAAGTAGTGGTAATATGTGAGTTTACATATAACCAGGACAAAATGTTTGAATATAAGAAATGTTATTATCATTTAAGATATCAATGTTTATGGTCTATTTTATGGTAGAGATATTTTTTCTTTTATTGTTATAAGATAATTTAAAGTTCTTATAGTAAATACGGTGAGATATGACTTCTTTAACATTCTTTTTATGAATAATAAATAAGTTTCCTGTGTATCTGCGCGGGTTTCTTTCCTACTTGTCCAAATAGCTTAATCAGGGTATACTCATCTACTTCATTAGAAATACATGTCCTGAATATTAACTAGGACACTGGTCTTCTAGATTACTTGTTTCAGTTGTCCTGATTTTTTTGTTCCCTAATGAAGGGTAGGAGAAATGTGCGGAACACACTTACTGATATAATGAAAGAGAGGCTAAGTGCACCTGGAAAGAAGTATGGTGACCTTGTAGACCTCATTGTTGAAGAGCTACAGAGCGAAAAGCCAATGATCGATGAAAACTTTGCTATAGACGCACTTGCTGCGCTCTTGTTTACGAGCTTTGCAACACTGTCATCAACCTTGACTGTAGCTTTTAAGTACCTAACCGACAATCCAAAAGTTGTTGAAGAGCTCAAGGTCTGTATTTTTTTTAATGCGGGTAGTTTATGTTCGAGACAAATAATGAAATATTGGATGAATTCTAAAATTAACACATCATTCTAGGAGGAGCACGGGACAATTCTAAAGAAGCGAGAAGGTGTGAATTCCGGGTTCACATGGGAGGAGTACAGGTCCTTGAAATTCAGTACTCAGGTGATTTCACGTTGTTGTCCGCTTATGTTTGAAGCATCATTGGTGCCATAGTGATGATTTCGGCAATTGCTTTTGTTAACTCATTTGAGCTTGTTTTACCTGAAGGTTATGAATGAAATTACTCGAATTAGTAACGTCACACCTGGAGTTTTCAGGAAAACATTAACAGATGTGCAAGTGAAAGGTAAACTTCTAACACAAACAATAAGATAATATATTGTGCATATAGCATAGTATTTACTCATGAGAATCACATCAGGCCATACAAATGGTTATTATAATATTTGGTTTTTACACAGGATATACAATTCCATCCGGGTGGTTAGTCATGATAAGCCCCATGGCAGTTCACCTAAACCCAAAATTGTTCGAGGATCCACTTAAATTTGATCCATGGAGGTGGAGGGTTAGTGGAAGACACATTTCAATATTGATCTATTAGTATTCAAGGATGAATTGTTGTTAAATTGGTCTTCACTTGTGTTGTGTTTTACCACAATGTTTCTATCTGACTCACTGAAGCAAATGGCAAATACAGGAGGAGAAGAGAAGCTCGATGCTGAAAAATTACATGCCATTTGGAGGAGGCGTCAGGCTGTGTCTCGGGGCAGAGTTTAGCAAGCTTTTCATTGCACTCTTCCTCCACATCTTGGTGACCGAGTATAGGTACATACGCATGTTGATGTTCGTTTGTTGCCTGCTATGCTCACTGATATAGTCTTAGAAAAACTCACTGACATACATGTTGAACTCTGTTTCTTTTCTTTTGCCGGGTGAACTCTCCGTTTAGTTGGACGGAGATTGAAGGAGGGGAAGTACTGCGCATATCAGAGATCATGTTCCCTCAAGGCTATCACATCCAACTAGTTCCTCAGACTTAATATACCTATTGGATATTCCACTGTTGTAATAATAAAGAAATTGTGAACCCAATAACTTGTTGCGTATGATATCTATATTGTAACTATGAAATAAACAGCTCGTGTGTCTTCAGTTTCAGACTGTGTCAAAAAGTATTATTGGAACAAAGGGTGGAAAATCTAAGGCATCTGAAGCTAGAGCACCTCCTTTATCTAGCATTCGGACCCTATGCAACTATGCAGCCCTTGGTTATTAATGTACTACCTCCGTTTTTTAATAGATGACGCTGTTGACTTTTTCGCACATGTTTAAACATTCGTTTTATTCAAAAAATTTATGTAATTATAATTTATTGTGTTATGAGTTGTTTTATCACTCATAGTACTTTAAGTGTGATTTATATCTTATACATTTGCATAAATTTTTTGAATAAGACGAATGGTTAAACATGTGCGAAAAAGTCAACGGCGTCATCTATTAAAAAAACGGAGGGAATATTTCATATATTCATCATGGTCCTTCTCTTTCTATTTATATTTTCAAGTTTGGATTCAAAATATTGTTCTATTTAAGCTTCGCATGCTTTTCTTCGTCTTAGATAAAGCGTCCTAGGACACTATTCTTTCTTATAAAAACATAAAGCACCTACAGTAACCTTCAATAATGCGAAATCTGAGAGATGAAACGTTACAGTAGCCTTCAATTACTTGTAGTCGTTTGTGATACTTGCAAACAAGTCGGTTGCTGTGGTGTAGTGGTTATCACGTCAGTCTTACACACTGAAGGTCTCCAGTTCGATCCTGGGCAGCAACATCCACTTCTTTTTGTGCATTGGACAATAAAACTGCACTAGGCCCTTTTTCTTTTTCGCAGTTGACATACAACAGCTCCAGGCTCATTGAACCTTTTTCTTCTTTGCTCCAGGCCTACTAGGCCCTGTTTTTTTTTGTTCATCCCCTTGCGAGTTTCGGTCCAGTTTGTACCCCTCTCCCTGTGGGACTCCGTGCGTGCGTGTCACACGCGAACGGCGCCCCACGAAAAGAACTCTACCCGCGTGCCTCGTGGGCTCAATTGTGGAAGCAAACCTTCTCGCGCGACACACCATCCTGCTCCCGACCTCCCGATCGAGCGCGTCGCGGAAGCACAGGGTGTCATGGGCCAACTGACTTGCAGGTCGCGCGTGTGACCGCGCGGTGTGCGGATGCCGTGTCCACCACCCGCCCAAATTTTGCTGGGTTTGCGCATGCGCCTCGACCAGTCGACGCCGCGCCGCGCGCGCCCGGCGAAACCTTGCACCGCGATACGGCTGATGCAGCGGGACAGGGCAGGAAACACATCTTCTGGGCACTCGGCACAGTCAAGCCCAGGTAGTTTCAGGCGGCACGGCTCGCCTGATCGTCTAAAAAGTTCTAAATCCATCTTGCGACGGGAGACCAAGAAAAACTCGAATGCAACGAGCACACAGCTTTCTCTACTGCTCAAAATCCAGCGGTTTGCTTAGGCCGTGGGGCCATGGCATGCAAGGGCGCCCACAGATTGCATTTGTTTTCTGCGGTTGGTACGTACAAAATCAGATTCCATCGTACTCGTACACGCATGCATCCGAGGTTTACTTTGACGAATCTCGCAGCAGACCCAAGCAAGTATCCCGCCGTTCGGGATCGAGGGGAAAGCATGCATGTGCTTGTCTAGCGTGGCATGAGAACTTGCTCGTACAGTAAACGAGCTAGTGTACAACGTCCCTTCGTGTGCGTGAGGGTGCATTGGCCACTCCTCCAACCTGCACATACAGTCATACTGATACTTATCTGGCTAGGTGGATGTCCCACAGAGAGAATAGTATTGTACTATATACGCCACGATTTGCACAACTTGTCGCGTGTTTTGATAGTTGGACAACCTGGCCGGAATAACGCATCGAAATGTTTTCACACTGTCAGCCATGAGGATGTAGCTAGTTACACAGACAGTCTCTGCTGGCATAGCATGTCTCATTTCCCTGAGTAAAAGCTTTTTTTTCTGCCATACATACAGTTATGCCTGCATATTGCCACTGCACGAGCTTCCTGCAAGCCTGAATGAATGCAACTTCACAGTGATGAGAGTTGCACGCGTAGCCTGGCAGCTTCGTCGCATTCGGCGGCAACGTATACATAGAGATCGATGGCAATGTATCCAGTGTCGCCTAATAGGGTGGTACGTAGGGTAGTAGTAATCCACAGGAGAGCAGATGCTGCCTAGAGCCCAGCTACTTGTCCATGTCACATGAGTTGCAACATCTGCAGGTCTACAGGCATGTTGCTCTATATCTACCAAGCATCAAAGCTTGATGCAGGAAACACCTGTCGCTCTTGAAGCCGTAAGTTCCAAAACTTGACAGCTCAGTATGTCATGCGCTGTCGCGCTCTGTTGGAGTAGCCTAATAGCCCAGCCTGGTTTAACGACAATCGTGTTGCTTTTAGGTGGTCGATGCAGTTGAGCAGTTCCAGTTCGTACAACTACTAGTCATCATGCACCCGAGAGATCGATTAGAATCCATCTTGTGCATATTGTTGCTTGTCTCTCTGGTGAGTTTTGCGAGACTTGCATCGCTCAGTCTCCAAGTAACTTTAACCGATGGAGATCCATGGTGCCTGATGAGAAAAAGAAAAGGGTCGTAGCCTGTTGCTGGTCCAACTGGTAGTCAAAGAGGCATTCGTATTATCATATCGCTATTGCCTCCTCCTACCAGTACCATGTGAGATTGTGAGTGCAAGCAGCTAGAGTAGCTAGCTAGCTAGCTCCATCTGAACTTTACAGTCAAAACTTATCATCCACTCGAAGATCTTCTGTCAGGAAATGCTCATGCTTGTTGTCTTGTTCAGCCACTCAGACTCCCTGCGTATGTACGCAGTTCATGACTTTATGTGATGCACCTATAGCTCTTGGAGGCGAGCACTTCAACTTCAATAAGGACCAAAAGGTGATTCGTGTCGAGCTAGCATCTCCATTAATCTCACTTCCAATTCAAGGAAATCGACGAATTGTTTTGAATGAAATTTGATGACAATGTGTTATAGTTGTTGCCGGAAGAACGTACTTCTCTGGGTAGAAACGGAAACGATGATGGCCCCTTAAGAACCAGCACGGAAAAGTAATTTTGTTCCTCAAGAGGATGTCCACTGGTTTCTCTTGTATGCCAGTTATGATTTTTTTTTTTTTTTGAAAATCCATCTCCCAGGAAGAACCCAACCACATAAATATGGTGATATATATACTTATAGAGAAATTTCTTGGGCGATGTCGTTGCTGATATCCTAATTACACTTTGATTGAATTCCATTTCTGCATTTATCGTCTATACATGCATTTGTACAAATCTTCAGCCTAAGCGCACATGACTGTGTTGGCCGTGTCGTGCAGGTGGCGTACAGAGTATATGTACGTTGAGTGCTAGTGCGAACACTTTGACCAGTTGCATGAGTGTAACACTCATGCTTAGAGCAGGCATTCGACCATTTGACTGGAGAATATGGCGAAAATAAACCTTAGTTGAATTGACAAGTATATCATGTTGGTGGCCGTGTTTTACTGAATTTGCACATGCTTCTCAACAATACCGATGTTGAAGTAATATTTTAGACCATGCATATGTTTGAGTTTTCTGACACGTTGCTTACGTTGGATCTCCAGGAAGTTTGGGATGACTTGGGAGATTTGCTGGCAAGCTTCAGCAATTTAAATCTCTGCTGCTTCAACCATTATTAATCATTTCTGCATGCTTTTAAAATAGCCATGAAAAATTATAAGAGAATTACAAAATAAATTATTGTGTTTAATGCGTGCGAGGAGCTTGCTCAGCACATGAAAGGGGGGGGGGATGCATTTGCATGTGAGACGTCCTTTGGACTATGGGAACTAAACTATTTCCTATAAACATTGTATAAAAAATTATGTTTCAAGAAGGCCTAAAATATGTAATCATATTCCAACCAGTTTTTTTTTCTAAAAGTTGGCGTTGTATATATATTTGTGGAGTGATTTATTTATAGACGAGATCATAATTTAATTTCTAATTTATATCATGAGGCCTTTTGAAGATTCTTTTTTTACTAATTGAGATCGTGTACGGAATGAAATCCGTCCCAGTACAAAATTATAAATGAAATCGTTCCACCAAACATGTATATACTTTTATTGACCTCACTATCAAATCCCCCCACCTCAAAAAAAAACTTATCTAATAGGCTAGTTTTAGTTTAGTTGGGTCCCTCCCATGGTTGGATCTCTTCCTAGGGTGTGTTTAATTCACGCCAAAATTAGAAGTTTGATTGAAATTGGAACGATGTGACGGAAAAGTTGGAAGTTTGTGTGTGTAGAAAAGTTTTGATGTGATGAAAAAGTTGTAAGTTTAAAGAACAAGTTGGGAACTAAACCATGCCCTAGTAGGATTATTTCCATTTGTATAGCTTGAGGGATAGCTGGAATTCAACGCCTTTGTCCTTGTGATGAAGGCGGAGCGATGTTGTGTGTTGTACAGGAGCCAGTGGTCCATATTTGGAGCCTCACATGCAGCACATGTAGGGAGGAGGATCTTAGAGGCAGGGACCAATCTACCCATTAGTCAGGGTGGGTCGACCAACACAGCTACGACCTGTGTCGCCACACCCTCGAGACCCCCTACCCCCTTACAGTAGTCATGGACCATCAAAATTAGGTATAACAAGGTGTGAACGTATAACATATTAGTCCGTCTCTTCACAACGTATGCATGTCGCAAACAATGATTGAGACAGTATGCGATTGAAATATAAATATGATATGTGTTTTGTTCTATTGCTCTTAAAGTTTTAGCCCATCTAAACAGAGTCTTACACTCATTGATTGTTTAGCATCATTCGACCCACTGTGGTTTTGAACTGATATATGCGTCCGCTACTGCTTGGAGGCAACAAAATGGTTGGTAGAGGTGCTCAGAGTCATCGGCTCCGTTGGTGGTTGGGCCTCGGAAAGGTGGATTCAATAGCAGTGAGCATTAATTGGACATAGTGGATATCTAGTGAAGCTAGTGCTCATGCTAAATTGTAGCGCCCGTTCCGTCGTGGCGCCTAGCGGGAAAATTATCTCTTAAAAATCCTAATTGTGAAATTTGTTTCTTTGCTTGTTGTCTAGTGTCCGTGCCATCTCAGATCTCAAATCCCCGATCTATCGCCGAGTTCAATCCCGAATCCAAATCCTTCCCAAATCAATTCCTCCGCAAAAGTCTATTTTACCTCCCTCGGGTTCGATGGGCCGAATTTCTCTCGGCCCATCTCCCC